GCCATATCCACGGCGTTTCTGCCGTTGTGCGCTCCGCACTTCTTCAGGATCTGTCTATATTTCTCAGATGAGGTATTCTAATTAGTTACAAAATTTACATTGTTCAGACTGTTGTCCTCATCTACGTTACCATATTCACGACATTTCGACCGTTGTACGCTCCGGCCTTTTTCAGGATCTGTCTTTATTTCTCAGATGAGGTATTGTAATTATTTACATTATTTACATTGTTTAGATTGTTATCCCTATCTTCGTTGCCATATTCACGACGTTTCGGCCGTTGAACGCCCCAGCCTTCTTCAGGATCTGTCTATATTTCTGAGATGAGGTATTGTAATTATTTATACTGTTTATATTGTTCGGACTGTTTTCCTCATCTTTATTGCCATATTCACAGTGTTTTAGCCGTTGTACGCTCCGGCCTTCTTCAGGATCAGTCTACATTTCTAAGTGGAAGAACAGATTGTTGAATGCATAATCTTATGCTCCATTCATATCTGAAAGCAAGACCCTATTTTTGATTGATGGTTGACTACAAGATGTTATATTTTATTAAGGATTGAATGCATGATATTACTGTTTCGTTACTGGTAGAATACATGTAATGTTCCATTGATGATCTAAAAAAAGATCTTATTTTTATTAATGGTTGAATACGAAATATTATACGTTATTGATAGTGGAATAGTTTGGTTTGATTTGGTTTGGTTTGTTTTACGGCATATCAACCTCAATGGGTTATTTAATGCCGACAAGATTTTTATTGCTGGTTTCGTTTCGTTTGTTTTCTTTTACGGCATATCAACCTCAATGGCTTATTTTAATGCCGACAAGATTTTTATTACTGGTTTCGTTTCTTTTCTTTTACGGCATATCGACCTCAATGGGTTATTTAATGCCGACAAGATTTTTATTACTGGTTGCGTTTCTTTTCTTTTACGGCATATCGACCTCAATGGGTTATTTAATGCCGACAAGATTTTTATTGCTGGTTTCGTTTCTTTTCTTTTACGGAACTAATTTTTTTATTGATGGTAATATTTTTTCCCAACAATGTATTGCTGGTATTATTTTTCCTTCAAGAAATCTATTTCTGGAAATATTTTTCCTTCAAAAATGTATTGCTGGTAATATTTTTCAAAAATGTATAGTTGATATTTTTTTTTTTTTAAATTTATAGCTGGTAATATTTTTTTTTCAAAAATGTATTGCTAGTAATAATGTATTGCTGGTAATTTTTTTTTTCAAAAATTTATTGCTGGTAATAATTTTTTACAAAGTATTTCTGGTATTAAAACCTACTTTTCGACCACTTCGACATGATGTAATGGTTAACAAGCTTGTCTCTCTATATGAATTACAACTTAGTTCGATTCTCATCGGTTACTACATACTTGGGAACTTCTGCTATATCTAAACTATGTTTAGTTTTAGGCAATTCCACGTGGAGTAATGTTTAACAAGATTTTCTCGTTAGATCAATTACGACTGTGTCTTGTGTTCAATCATCACTGGTTGCTCCATACACTTGGCCTTGTGCCACATCTAACCTATGTATATAAGCCACTATTTCTCAAAGCTTTTACAGCCGTTTTCCATTTCGAAGCCCGTGGTTCTGTTAATTCAACAGGATCGTTTCATTGCTTTCAATCACCTCTACTGGTAGGTAAAGACAGCTGGTCCCCTAAGAATTTTTTAAAATAATGATTAACCTGTACAAGAACCAAGAGCCACTCGAGGTAGAGGGTTAGAGAATAAGAGGCACACATCACGCGGACATGTAGGGAAGATAACGGTTAATTCTAGACCTGAACACGTTAAGCTTGTAGTGATCGGGAACACCTCCCTAGATACATGAACAGGTTACGATTGTAATGATCTGAAAACGATGTCCAAGAGACGTGAACACGTTAATTTTGAAGTAATCGGAAACCGACTTCCAAGAGACTTGAACAAGAGTCCACTCTGACCAGGCTGGTTTGAATTCAGATTTCTGTTTCTCCTTGATTGGTTCCAAATTATAGTACCCTATCTTGTAGGGGAAAAGATGGGTACAAACCTTTCCCAAGAGTTTTAGCATCTGAGTGCATATAATGAACCCGATTGGAATTCGACCTCCGCTCTCCGCTTCTTCAATCCACCCTGTCTCCTTTTATGTACAGAATCTATTAGAATGATATTTTAACTCTTTGAAGTTATAAAAATACAGACAAAATTGAAATAAAACAAATGCCTGGATCCTAAATTTAATATGTTTTAACAGTATGATAGTCCTTGAAACATTTCATGCACAATTGGGCTGTACCTTCTTTGCAAATATTTGTCGCAGGTTTCACCTCTTTTCTCGTAAGCTTTATTTTCAAGCAAGTAGTCTTGGAAATGGCGGAACCCCATGAATCCAAGCGTTACCAATTCGACATTTAAACTCGAATCAGGAATGTATGGTACCCATATATCAGACGGTAAGAAAGTGTTATGGTCCAAGGTTCCTTGTACAACAGTGATGGTCCAAGGTTCCTTGTAGCACGGTGATGGTCCAAGGTTCCTTGTACCACGGTGATGGTCCAAGGTTCCTTGTAGCACGGTGATGGTCCAAGGTTCCTTGTACCACAGTGATGGTCAAAAATTCCTTGTACCACGGTGATGGTCCAAGGTTCCTTGTAGCACGGTGATGGTCCAAGGTTCCTTGTACCACGGTGATGGTCCAAGGTTCCTTGTAGCACGGTGATGGTCCAAGGTTCCTTGTACCACGGTGATGGTCCAAGATTCTTTGTACCACGGTGATGGTCCAAGGTTCCTTGTACCACGGTGATGGTCCAAGGTTCCTTGTACCACGGTGATGGTCCAAGGTTCCTTGTACCACGGTGATGGTCCAAGGTTCCTTGTAGCACGGTGATGGTCCAAAGTTAGAACCAATGAAAGAATAACACGAACACAGTTATGGAATACAAAGATATATTATAACAGAAATATAATACAAAGAAGTAGAAGTATTAGTAATGACTATCAGATTTGGTTAGAGTGAACTATGTTGTCTCGACAAGTATCACTATTCCAATGTCCTTACAATATGCTCTTAATTATCTCTCCTCGTCTTACAATCTCCTGATACCTCTTGAGAAGCGCAGTATTTATAATGTCAGGAATAGTCCATTATTATTATGGGTAAGTTCCCATAACAGAAAGTTGGTTCACTGTGTCGTGCTAGACAATCTTTCTCTGCAGAATCTATCTTATATATCTATAAGTCTACCATTCATTCATGCTTAAAATATTGCTGCCACATATGGTCCTGTGCCCCTGTTGTTTACCTAGAGCTCCTTGATAAAATCCATAAGAAGAATTATCAATATTATTGGCCGTGATATTGCTGCTCGGCTTCAGTCATATTCCCCCCCATTCTACGTAATGTAACTTCCCTTTGCCTTTTCTATAAATAATTCCATATTAATTGTTCGGATGAGCTCTTCCCTATGGAATTGTTGTTTTATTCCCCTCGCCCCACCGACAATGAATTGTAAATATGGGGACTAGTTAGTGTTTTCATAGAGACAGAGAGGTATTATGGTGATTGTAGTAAGAAAGGTGCGTATGGATGTGTTGTTTTGGTGTAAGGAATATTGTTTGTGCGATTGGGTCAGCGTTTGTGGCTAAGTAAATTATAGTTAAGACAGAAGAAGAACGTCATTTCCCCAAATCCCCCCACCTTCGGCCATGTCCCACATTTCTGTATTAAACAGAATAAATATCGCTCTTCCCTATGATATAGATTTGTATTCATATTGTAAATACATCTTGGGGCTAGTTTAAAATTGTTGTTCTATTCCACCCCGACAGACAATGAATTGTATATATGGGGACTAGTTACTATTTTCATAGAGACAAAGAGGTATTAAGGTGGTTGTAATAAGAAAGGTAAGTAAGAATGCGTTGTTTTGGTGTAAGGAAGATTATGGCAGGTTTGGTCAGTGTTTGTGGCTAGGTAAGTTTTACATTAGAACAGATGAAGACCGACCTTTTCCCATTCCTCATTTTGACCATGTGCCACATTTTGTATTATCATACGAATAAATATCTCACTGGCTACGAATTGTACATATGGAAACTAGTTAGGACTTTCATAGAGACAATGAGACATTATGTTGGTTGTAATAAGAAAGGTAAGTAAGAATGAGTTGTTTTGGTGTTAAGAATATTTGGGTCAGTGTTTGTGACTAGCTAAGATGGAAGATGACTGTTCTTTTTTCCCATACCCCATTTTTGGCCTTGCGGCACATTTTTTAAATATTTACAATTAAATAACGCTCCTCGCTATGAATTGTTCATATGCGGACTGGTATATTTGGGTTAAGTGTTTGTGGCTAGCTAAGGTTAAAGTTAAGACTTTTCCCCATTCCCCATTTTTTTTTGCCTTGTGCCACATTTTTTGTATTTGAAGCGGAAATAAATATCGTTCTTCCCTATGGTACATAGACTTTTTTTAATTTAAGCGCAGTACTAGACCGGTGTCGAGACCTCATCAATTTACAGTTGAGTTGGGTTCGATGTAGCCGTAAGTTCTATGCTAACAATTTCTTTTCTCGCACATCTCGTTTGTGAAGCTCTCTTCCGGCTCCATGCTTTCCAGCCAACTTTAATCTGCAAAAATTTAAATGCAATGTCAATCGCTATCTACTGTCATCTTGATTAATCTTTCCTCTTCCCGCTCATTATTAATGTTTCTGTTTCTAATTCTTCCACACCCAGTAACCACGTGTGTCTTAGTGGCTTTCCTGCCTTGCTTGTGGAATTCCCTTCTGACACCATGCTTTCCAGTCAACTTTAATCTGCAAAAATTTAAATACAATATCAATCGCTATCTACCCTCCTCCTGATTAATCTTTCCTCTTCCCGCTCATTATTAATGTTTCTGTTCCTAATTCTTCCACACCCTGTAACCCTTTGTGTCTTAGTGGCTTTACTGCCTTGTATGTGGTGATACTGTTTTAAAGAAAATGCAGTATCACTAATCTATCTATCTATCTATCTATCTATCACTGTATGTCTTTCCATTATCTATCTATCTATCTATCTATCTATCTATCTATCTCAGTCTGTTCATATCTATCTATCTATCTATCACTGTATGTCTTTCCATTATCTATCTATCTATCTCAGTCTGTTCATATCTATCTATCTATCTATCTATCTATCTATCTATCTATCTATCTATCTATCTCAGTCTATTCATATCTATCTATCTATCTATCTATCTATCTATCTATCTATCTATCTATCTATCTATGTCATTCTGTTTCTATCTATCTATCTATCTATCTATCTATCTATCTATCTATCTATCTATCTATCTATCTCAGTCTGTTCACTATCTATCTATCTATTTATCTATGTTTTTTTTCTCGCAATTCTTGCTTGTGGAATTCTCTTCCGGTTCCATGATTTCCAGTTAATTTTAATCTGCAAAAAATTTAAATACAATGTCAATCGCTATCTACTGTACTCCTGATTAATCTTTCCTCTTCCCCCTCATTATTAATGTTTCTGTTCCTAATTTCTCCCACACCCTGTAACACCCTGTGTCTTAGTGGCTTTACTACCACGCATGGGGTGATACTGATTTTATATATATATATATATATATATATATATATATATATATATATATATATATATATATATATATATATATATATATATTAAACGATAGGAAAATGTTTAACTCACCAATTGATGACATTATGATGATATCCATATATATATATATATATATAAGAGTTTAAATATATATATAATAAACGATAGTGTGTATAATATATATATATATATATATATATATATATAAAAGGCGTGTGTCTGTTAACTGTTCAAAAATGTTTGTGTGTAAGTGTGTGTGTGTGTGTGTGTGTTTATTCGAAAGACAAAATACATTTTTTTTGCAATTTTTTTTTTAATTTTCTTTTTCTTAATTCTTTTTCTTTTCCTTTCTCTCCTTAATAGTGTTTTTTCTCATATTCTATAACACTATGTAACTCCCTTGTGTCTAAGTGGCTTTATTGCCTTGCTTGGGGTTAAATGATTAAAAAATAATTTATTTATTAATCTTGGGATGGTTATCTGTAAACTTACATGTGTATTAGTCAAAGATCTTTTCTTTTCTCTTTTTTTTTTTACCTCCGCATTTCTAATAAAATTATTTAAAATTGTTTTCCAATAAAAGACTTTTTTTTAAAAAAAAATTACTGTTTTGAAAAAAAAATCTGCGATTATAACGACGACAATATTTTTAAATTTAAAAAATTTAAAAATAAAAATTTTAAAATAAAAAAAGAACTGATGTTTTTTTTTTCTTTCCAAAGTGATTCTTTGTTATATTTGAACATCTTCTAAATGGAATCGTCCAATATTTGTACATTTTCTAAGTGGAATCGTCCAATGTGCTACCATCGAAAACATTATTGCGTATAAAGTTTTGTATTCAATACAGAAGTGTTGTGTTTCTTTTTTTTTTCTTTCTTTCTTTCAGTTTTACATTATTTCATTCTTCGACGTCAAATTGGTGAGGTAGTAATACAGACCAACCAATATTACACAATGTTTTTTCAGACTTTTTAAGCAATGGCACACCTAAGAGCAAATAAAAATATCATGACACACTTAGCAAAATGTTTATACGTTTAACTGTGATGAAATAAAATCATAGATTAAAAATATTACAGCACACTTAGCAAAATTTTTCAAGGGTGTACATTTAAATATTACATAATAAAACCATAGTTTTTTTTTTCCAAAAAATACACACACAAATATAAACTTACTTTATTTCAATGTTTCTATTCAATTATTAGTGCGGCATTTTTAAGGTAAAACCTATGCCTGGTGTTTTTTCACGATTTCTTTAATGTTTGGTTGAATGTGCGATAAACTAACCCTCATTTCTCCTTCAGTTAATATATATATATATATATATATATATATATATATATATATATATATATATATATATATATATATATATATATAATGTTGAAAAGGCAAATTGAAATAGCAAAATAAAACTTGAACAACCTTAACAGCAACAAACAGGACATTTGTCCTTATATTACGTTGTAATTGACATCTTTGATAATGGCTTATGTAAGCCAAAAGCTTAGATTGTATTAAATAAAAAATATGGTTCAATCTTGTGAATTTCTTTCTTCGTTCAACAACAATGTTATTAAACTTATCAGACGTTACGAAAAATTTACATAAAATAAATAGACAACACTTGTCTATATTATTTAATGAAACGTGTATGAATATATATATATATGACAGTGTGTATATATATATATATATATATATATATATGACAGTGTGTATATATATATATATATATATATAAAGGCAGAATGTGTCTGTGTGTGTGTGTGTGTGTGTGTGTGTGTGTGTGTGTGTGTGTGGAACGAATGCACGGGCGCGTTTTTCGACGGATTTGCAAACAAAATTTACATGCACATGCTCCAAGTTAGCGGGAAGGCCAAGACTGACTTTGCATTTCCCAACTTCCATCGATAGTGGAAATGATCGAATTTTTTCATGCTTCTACGGCACTTTTCATGTAGTTTGCGACCATTTTCTACTGGCCAGACTGAGAGCCTATAGCTGACTGCCACGAATAGGCAGGAAGATTCTATTGGCCAGCGTGAGAGGCAACAGCTGACTGACACGAATGTTAACTAGCATGCGAGAATGCAAAAAAAAATCGATAGCTGCATTCGTCACAAGTGGGAAAAATTTAAATCTGCATGGCACTTTACTCCAATTGGCTCATTCGCTTGCTTAAACTCAACGTTGATTCTGATTCCGCAGAAATGGGTTGGGTGTGAAAAAGTATATGCTATTAACATTATTTTTTTCATTCGGTTTTTCCAGTTACGAGTTCTTTTTTAAAGCTGATCGTTTTGTGTTCATTTTGTTTAGTTCTTTTTTCGTAACAGATTTAATGTTTAGTATAGAGCTTAGAAAAAGAGATATTGGACGTGTGAGATAGGCAAGAAGTAAGGCATGTAGCAACATCAGCAAGGCAAAGGGCACTCCTTTAAAGGCAAGGAAGGGCAAAAATATTTTAAGTCAAGTGATAAGTGATTAAGTCAAGTGATAGCGATTGCTGTATGAGTTTGTACGATTTTTGAATCAAGTACGGGCAACGCCGGGCCATGCTGCTAGTATATATATATATATATGACAGTGTGTATATAAAAAATTAAACAAAATTAATAATTATCGCAATCGAATTAAGTCGACTCCCCATGAAAAATTATTACCTGTAGAACAACATTTCCCCCTGGAAAAACACGATTTCAAAACCCATGCCAAATTCACTATAATTGAGAGAATAAAAAAGTTTAGAGCAGATAACATTAGAAAGATTTTAGAGTCCCATGAAAATAAGTGGATACAATGTTTAAAAACACACTATCCAGCCGGGCTAAACCATAAATTTAACAATATAGATGGTATTAGTATATAACCCTACAAATCAAAACCTACCCACATTTCTCACCCACACAAGACAGACATGCTTACGGAGGTGTTGAGTCCTCACACTTATACACACACCCACGCGAACATACACACTTACACACATCATACTCACTCACTCCCTAATGAGCCAAATGATAACACACACACAGCAATATACACGCTAACACATATCATACTCACTCACTCCTTAAGAACCAAATAACACACACACACACTTAACAGAGACACAACACCTTTCCAGGAACCAATAAAACTGTCAAACTGACCAGGGGAATTCAGAGCAGCATAGATCCATCCAGCTCTTATCTCAAGTAACAACTTAAAAGAGACTGTTTGACCAACACAAGGAATGTTAAAAGATTCATGTTAAAAAGATAAAAAAATAAAAAAAAACAAATGAAAACTACAGACAAAAGTTAATTTTCTCCATCAAGACATTCATTTCTGTAGTTCACTGCTACCAGCAAGCAGAAATATTTCTTCTCCTGATGATGGCCATTTTGGCCAAAACTAGTCGAGGAATCTAAATGATACAATAATAATAAAAACGAAAGAATATTAATCTACAACCCAGTGTGTCTGAAGATTTTAATTTTTAATATTTTTTATTGTCTAATTATATATATATATATATATATATATATATATATATATATATATATATATATATAAAAAAAGGTGCCATTCGAAAAGCAACACCTTAAATACTGCAAGTGAAGATCAACGCAAAATGGAGAACAGAAAAAAGCATTGTTAATTCTTCATTTTTATAAGGTATTTGTAGATTTTTAAGAGGCACGCATAGTGAATGACGTCCTGCTGTTCATGTCGCAACAGAAAGAAAGAATTTAAGTTACGGAAGGCAGGCTGTACTGTTAAGGTTAATCAAAAGTACCAGGAGAATGTAAGGCCTACCAGGTAGTTTATGATCACCGAAAATGCCCGAATTTTATCCTCTCCGGGAAAAATCACCTGTATATAGTGCAACCGGTCACAGAAAATGCATTATTTTTTAACTACTTCACAAAAAATACCTGTGTATATTGAGACCTCTTATATTTCATGTATAAGTCGACTTCATGTACAGTGAGAACCATTGTGTTTTTTTTGTTTTTTTTTTTTTTTGGTGAAAAACCTGCTTTTTTTTTCATATAACTCTTGTATAATGCGATCCCAAGGTTCTGAGCAATACTAGTAAGCCTACCGTAGTCAAATATTGTGGTACTGGGCATCATCCTAGATATTTCTTACAGCAAATAAATGGTCATCATTCTTTTTTTTTTTGCAATAAGATACCCCAGAATGGTGAGAAAAACCATTTACGGTAAAATATCTGATACAAAGATTTCGATATCGTATTTTTGTTTAGGTTCATGCCTGACTACAGTAACTCCATTAACCTGGGCCTGCCTCCTACGTAGACTAAGTTTCTTCCCTTTTGTCGTTACATGAAGAGCAAAACCTCATCTCCTTTTTATATGCTTTTGTAATGCTCAAAATCTGTTGGTTCCTATTCATAATATTACTGTGGACCATAATTAAATCAAATGGAATCAAAATTCATTTCGTTTTCTAACCTGTGCAATTATCATTTACCGTATGTCATGGTGCATCTTGTCAAAATATTTTAAGAATATGGTAACGAAGAATTATAAAATAAAAAAATACCAGTAAATTGTGAAGAATAAGTACAGATAAACAGAGGAAGACAGAATACAGAAGATAACGGAAAATATATATATATATATATATATATATATATATATATATATATATATATATATATATATATATATATATATATATATATATATATATATATATATATATATATATATATATATATATATATATATATATATATATGTTGTCATCCACAGAGAGACTGTTTCGCTGTATCACAGCTCATTAGT